CTCTCCTTCCTTTCCTACTCTTCTTCCCTGCTCCTCTCCCCTCTGCTCTCCACTCCGAGGACATGGCCGTGTGCATCTGCATCTCCTCATCACTGCTGGATCCCAACACCGTCCACAGCAGACATGAGGTCTCCCTTCAGAGGTTCACTGTATCCCATGGGTAGCCTGAGCCGTGCATGTGGCTCTCAAAGCTGATTCGTCTCCAAATGAGTGCCCCTAATGCTTATCCAGCCAGTCCCTCAGGTGAAGAGGTAAGAGCTACCCCTGACTCAGTCTCCTCCACCCCTTCCTTGGCTTCTGTCTGGATCCTATCAACAAGGCCCAGACTCCTTTGTTCAAATGCAATGGACCACCCATCTCCCCTCTGCAGTCTCATGCCCAGCCAGTTTCTTTACTTTTGCTCCTCCCACTATCCATCCACCATCATCCCAGTCATTGGAGGTGACTTGGGAAATGCAAGTGGCCCTTGTCACTGCCTTGCTGCACTCAGAATAAATCCAGTGTTGCACTCAGCACAAATCCAATGCTTTTCAACATAGCTACATGTGAGTATGTGCCTTTGCTTGCTTGAATGCGTGAGTGCATGCGCGCGCTCGTGTGTGTGTGTGTGTGTGTGTGTGTGTGTGTGTGTGTGTGTGTGTACACCAGAGGTTATCCTTGGGTATCATTCCTTGTTTTTGGAGGCAGAATCTCACTGACCTGGACCTCAGCAGGAGTAACAATCTCCTCACCCACAGCTGAATACAAAGGAGAGAGAAAGAGCTCAGGTTCCTCAATTCCCTTCAAGGGAACATCCCCAATGACCTAAAACATCAGCCAGCCCCACCTTTCAAAGTTTTTACTTCTCTCAATAGCCCCAGATGCTGGAACTAATTCCCCCCCTCCCCTCACTCTTCCCCCTCCTTCTTTTCCTCTTCCCTCTGACTTTCCCTGCTTCCTTCCTTTTTCTTCTCTCTCTCACCTGCCTTCTCTCCTCTCCTCTTTCCTTCCGTCCCTTTCCTCGTGTCCTCTTCTCCCCCCCATTCCTTCCTTCTTCCCTCTCCCTACCATACCGTCTGCCTCTGTAAGACACTTCTGTGTGTATCTCAGTTTCTGCCTCACCTGCTGCCTCCACTTTGAAGTCTGGAGTTACATGCTGGGTTAGTGTGGCACTGGGGATGAGACCTGGGTCTCTATCTTTTCCCTCCTTGACAAGCACTCCACTAGCGGAGTTACTCTGGATTTGAGTTCAAACCAGGCCTTGCAATTGAAAACCATGCCTAAATATTTTAATGAAGCTCATAATTGATATTAATGAGAGGACACTTGCTGAGGATGACACGGATCCCTTAGGAGAAGCAGAATCCCTGGTGACAAGGGCTCTCCAAAGGCTGCTTACCACACTGCCAGACCTTGCTGCTGGGAGGGGGTGGTAGTGGTGGAAGATGGTAGGACGAGGCTCCTGCTGGTTCTGCTCTGCTCAACCCGCCACCTAGTGGACACTAGGTGGAGGAAGCCTGCACCCCAAACCAAAAAGGCTCCCAGCAAAGCCAAGGCTGGGAAAGGCTGCTTTGTGTATGGTTTGTGGCAGGGAGCTATGGGGTGGGCAGGACTGCGCAGCCCACATTCTCTGCTTTGGAGGAGGCTACAGTGTGATTATCATGTCTGAATCTTTTTCATTAACCATAAACCCATCTATTCCACCTTGCTTGGTATGCACAACTATCACCCCAATTGTCACAACCCACAACAGCAGAGGGGAGAATGTCATCAGGTGGTGATGACGGTCTTTATACCAATGCATTCAATTGTCCCAGGAGCCCCGAGGCAGATTCTTGCTCTATTCCCACTCTGAGCATGTGGAGACAGAGACTCAAAGAAGTGAAGCATTTTGCTCAAGGTCACACAGGTTGCAGGGACAGTACTGGAACCCAACACTGTGCTTCCCAGAATTTCTCTTTCTAGGGCCACTCTGGGCAGAGAGGGGAGAAATCTGAAAATACAGAAAAGCCATTGAAGATTATGGTCCAGAGCCACATTGAGGCAGGCTTTGAGAGACCCTGGTCTAGGAGAAGGAAGATCCCAGTTCTGATACATGCATGGACCCTGGGAAAATCCCTTGTATCTTCAAAGCCTTTCTCTTCCCATCAGTATTAGAGGAGAATGAACATAAACACACCAGACTGTGTTAGTTAGGGAAGGAAAGAGCACTCAGGAAGCAAATAAGGTGTGACAGGTGTCTCTGTCCCAGGTAAGGCTGGCCCAGGCTAAGCCCAGAAGTTCTTTGCAGAAGTATGTCTGAGACCTATGTCGTGATGGCCTACACTGCAGCAGCTAGAGGTGGGGAGCATTAATGACCAGAGTGACACAATGAGTTAACCGAGCCTCAAGAGCATCTGATAAACACTCATTCTCTTTAGAGCACTGTTCCCAGAAAGTGGACCTGTTGTGGAGGTTTGCAAAGCTAGAAGCAAGAGGTGGGAGTCATTCATCTGTTCTGGGGATGGATCGAACCCAGGCCTTCCAGCATACCCAGACAAGGGGCTTTCCCCCTCTGATGCAGGGGTCTTCCCTACACACAGGAGGGGCTCCTTCCCCACTTTTATCCATCTTGCTGCAGCAGAGGGAAACAGACAACCATCCTTTAGTCTGTGTCCAGCTGCCTAGACACTCGGGCTCAGAGGAAAAGCTCGCGTGCATTTGGGTACAGGAAGAGCAGGTTGGGGCAGTATAGGAGATGAACTCACACACCTTTCTGTAGCGGGGCTCCCCGTGCCCTCAATGTGCACTGAAGGTAAGGGAGGACAATCTACTAAAACACAGTGTTTAAAATGCCACAACGACATTTAATTCTTGTATGATACTTTACAAAAGAAACCAACTTTAAAGAAGAAAATGAGGAACAACAAAAGGGTGAGGGAGAAGGAGCAATGCAAAGGAGGAGGAGGGAAGAGGAGAAGGAAGGGGAAGAGGAGAGGAGGAAGAGGAGGAGGAAGGGGAAGAGGAGAGGAGGAAGAGGAGGAGGAAGGGGAAGAGGAGAGGGAGGAAGAGAAGGAGGAAGGGGAAGAGGAGAGGGAGGAAGAGGAGGAGGAAGGGGAAGAGGAGAGGGAGGAAGAGGAGGAGGAAGGGGAAGAGGAGAGGGAGGAAGAGGAGGAGGAAGGGGAAGAGGAGAGGGAGGAAGAGGAGGAGGAAGGGGAAGAGGAGAGGGAGGAAGAGGAGGAAGGGGAAGAGGAGAGGGAGGAAGAGGAGGAGGAAGGGGAAGAGGAGAGGGAGGAAGAGGAGGAGGAAGGGGAAGAGGAGAAGGAGGAAGAGGAGGAAGGGGAAGAGGAGAGGGAGGAAGAGGAGGAGGAAGGGGAAGAGGAGAGGGAGGAAGAGGAGGAAAAGGGGAAGAGGAGAGGGAGGAAGAGGAGGAAGGGGAAGAGGAGAGGGAGGAAGAGGAGGAGGAAGGGGAAGAGGAGAGGGAGGAAGAGGAGGAAAAGGGGAAGAGGAGAGGGGGAGAGGAGGAGGGGGAGGAGGAGGAAAGAGGAGGAGGAAGGGGAAGAGGAGAGGGAGGGAGAGGAGGAGGAGAGGTCTGACATTAAGAAACCCAGTTTTAACACCACTACCAATAGCCTGTCTCCCCCAAGGCCACACTTCGATTATTATTTTTGTTCTCTGTTCCCACTTAGTTCCTCTTTTTTATTTTTAAACTTGTCCATCATCAGTTACCGAACATGCTCGAATTTCACTTTGAAGGGCTAACTAGACCTGTAAGACCAATTGACCTCTTCCCTTCCAAACAAAATCAAGGTGTGCCCCTTATTCCTTTGCCTGAAAGTTAGCTACATTCTGTAGTTAGCTACATTCTGAATCCCCTACACCCAGCAAAACAGCTAAGTTTTGAAAAAGAAAGTGGGAAAACAAAAGACTGCAAAATACAAGTGTGAGTACTTCTGTTTTCAAGTGGGTTTTCTTAGGGAGACAGCACTAGCCATTGACCTGTGGAGGAAAGTGTCTGCACCAAACAAATTCTGCACTGGGCGTGTTGGCTTTCTGGAGTTCTTCTGACTTCCATATATATATATATATATATATATATATATATATATATATATATGATTTTTTATTTTTTTAAGAGTCCTTCCAAAAGTTAGAGGGGGTTCGCTGGAGAGGCGTATTTCACAATTTGAAGTCCTAGTTTTAGGAAAGATGACCCAGAAGTAAGACTGATTAAAATCTGGTCACTCCCTAGGCTTCTAGAGGGTCCTTCCCACAGAGCTGGAGGCTGAGGCTGTCCTGGCCTTGGGACCAGTATAGACAGAGGATGGATTTGGTGACCCCATCAGGACCTTGCAGGCACTATGATTGTGAACACCAACGTAGCCATGTGTGGGAGGTACTACTGTGTGCACCCACTGACTGCGTGCGTGGGTGCCAGTGCATGGTGGTCTGTGGGAGGTGCGTTGGGCAAGGATGGGTTATCTGTGGAGCCCCAGCGGGGGGCTGCGGCCCGCGGCTCCCACTTGTGGCTCCTGGGCGCCGCCAGCAGGCATATCTCCGGAGGACGCTGCGGGATGGGAGCTGATGACAGGAGGGCGCCGTCTCCCGAGTGATGGCAGCGCACGCCGCTGCCTAGCCGCCTCCGCCGCTCTCCGTCCTGATCTCCTTACGTCAGGGTAGCTGGGTCCCCCCTCCACCCGGGAGCCAGCGAGCAGCCGGAGAGAGCAGAGCAGAGCTTGCGGCAGAGCCGTTCCAGAGTCCGGTTGAACCCTGCCAAGACCCGCCAATCCCAGCAGAGCAGGAGCCATCGCCTTTGAGCCAACACCGGACGCCTCACCGGACCCAGCATTCCCAGCTGCCGACACCTGGTACCCGCTGGGGCGCCGGGCTCGTCCTGTGCGCCCCTCGCCATGCGCGTCGGACTCTTCGACTCTCCAGATCAGTTCCAGCGTGGTGGCCACCGGATCCCACGTCCGGATACCTCCCGTTGAAACAGTTGTGTAGCCAGGACAGGGGTCTCCACGTCGGGGACGCGGCGGGGACCTGCGGAGTTGGCGTCTGAGCGCATAGAGCGGGGTCACCCGCGCCGCTCCACCATTACCTCCCCGGGCGGCAAGGAGGAGCTGGTGGCGGTCGCCTCCCGGCTGTGGCAGCGGCGGCGGCGCGCCTGCTTGGCGGCCGTCGGCGTGCTCCTGGCCATGGCACTGGGGCTGCTGATCGCGGTGCCCCTGCTACTGCAGGCGGCTCCCCCCGGCGCGGCTCACTACGAGATGTTGGGCACCTGCCGCATGATCTGTGACCCGTACAGCGTCGCTCCCGCAGGGGGACCCGCGGGCGCCAAGGCTCCACCACCGGGACCCAGCACTGCTGCCCTGGAAGTTATGCAGGACCTCAGCGCCAACCCCCCGCCTCCCTTTATCCAGGGACCAAAGGGTGATCCAGGGCGACCAGGCAAGCCGGGGCCTCGGGGTCCCCCTGGAGAGCCAGGGCCGCCTGGGCCCAGGGGTCCCCCGGGGGAGAAGGGAGACTCGGGGAGGCCAGGGCTACCCGGACTGCAGTTGACAACCAGCGCGGCCGGTGGCGTTGGAATGGTGGGTGGCGGAGCCGGGGGCGGTGGCGACACGGAGGGCGAAGTGACCAGTGCGCTGAGCGCCGCCTTCAGCGGTCCCAAGATCGCCTTCTACGTGGGACTCAAGAGCCCCCATGAAGGCTATGAGGTGCTCAAGTTCGACGACGTGGTCACCAATCTTGGCAATCACTACGACCCCACCACCGGGAAGTTCAGCTGCCAGGTGCGGGGCATTTACTTTTTCACTTACCACATTCTCATGCGTGGCGGCGACGGAACCAGCATGTGGGCGGATCTCTGCAAAAACGGGCAGGTCAGTGACTGTCTCCCACATACCCCTCCCTACTTTATCGGGCCCAACAGACTCCGCAGACGGGGATTGCCGGGGAATTATCCTTTTTTCCGGCCACCTTCCAGAGTCCCCAGCAACTCTGGGATGGAGCAGTCTCTGGAGCACAGCATCACGCTCCCCTGCGCAGTCATCTATGCTTGCCCAAAGGCCCAAGCTGGACCCCGGGTACACAGTGACCCTGACACCTAAACTAGGTTCTAAGTCCCAATAGCTTGAGTCCTGGTCTGAGGTGGCCACGCTCCTAGAACAATGCAGTTTTCTTTTCCTCTGTGATTGTACGCGGGTCAACCCCTTTCTCTCTAGCTTTCTTCATCATGGCTTTAACTCCTGGGGCCTCCTTTACTCACTGGGCCAGTGTCCCCAAGCCCTCTGGGGAGGGAGTGTTGACACCGAAGTAGCAGACAGAGAGTCTGCAAGGGGATGGGCAAGGGAGGCCAGGCATTTACTCTGGAAGAGGTGCAAGGGTCCACCCACTCCTCTGGTTCGCCCCGCAGGTGCGCGCCAGCGCCATAGCCCAGGATGCGGACCAGAATTACGACTATGCCAGCAACAGCGTGGTACTGCACCTGGATTCAGGCGATGAAGTCTATGTGAAGTTGGACGGCGGGAAGGCTCATGGGGGCAATAACAACAAGTACAGCACGTTCTCGGGCTTTCTCCTGTACCCAGATTAGGGGCGCAGAGAGCGAGGGCGCGAGGTGGGGAGGCTTCAGGCGCCCCATCCCCACAGGGTTCTCACCGCCATTCTTTGGTGAATGTCACTCTGCGACTTCATGACACTTCCTGACATCTCCGTTGGAAAAGACACATCCCTGCTGTCCTACTTGTCCTGCTTCAGGCCTCAGTGTGTCTGATTCGCCATGCTGTGGGGAGGCTGTGTCCCTGGTCCCAGTGCCCATCCCGGGGAGGGAGAGGGAACGCTTGAGTGGGGAGTTGGGTGAGAATCCCAGCTCCGGCAGGGAGGGGAGGGTGGTGGTTGTGGGGCAGCCCAGACTTGGGAAAGCTGATTGGACTGGACAGGCAGCCCTAGGGAACCTGAGTTTCCCCAGCTCACTTCTCCCTTCCAGTGTGCCCAGGTCAAGGGCTGCAGGCCTCACCAGGAAGATAAGACCCAGGCGAACGCCACTCCCTGGGACCTCCCTTTTTGTGACCCGAAATGCCTGTGCAGATTTTCCTGTCCATCAGCCAAAACCCCACCCTTAGCTGAATTCCAACAAACAGAATATTCACCTTGTCACACATACTCTCCTCTGACTTCCTCCGCCATGCATTAAATTATGTTTTTAGAGCACCGGCTCCTGTTCTTTTTGTTAATACAGCTCCTTTACCTGGACTCCAGAAATCGCCCTGGCCTTACAACCTAGCCAATGCCCTATCTCCAGCCAGAGCACTGCCCCTACAACCCGAGGTTGGCTGAAAGGTGTGGGGGGGGGGCAGAGCAGCATCCCACCCACCCTTTGCACTGCAGACCTGAGTTGAGGGGGGCGGAAGGATGAGAGGTGAGTTAGAGGGAGGCAGGAGAGAGGTGATAGTGTACAGTTTGTGCAACTAGATCTCCCTGGACCTGGTGGAGGAGATCACAGAGGAGGGTCCCTGTGAATTGTGAGGCAATTATGAGACACTTGCCAGTGGGGACCCTGTGAGTTTGGAGGCTCAAAAACAGAAGAACAGAAAGAAGCATACCCCCTCGGCTGGAAGTTCTCACTCCCCAAAGACCAACAACTCACTGGGGGGTGGGGGAATGTGTCTGTTCTCACTGCAGCTAGGCCCTTGCCCTCTGAGGAGTCAGTAAACTGAGGTAGTTCTGTGAATCATGTCTAACTTCAGCGGGAACATTGTTGAGAGGGAGGTGACATCCCCTCCAGGAGGGATAGATGCTTTTGGGGGTCATTCCTTCCCTGAAAGAAGTGACACAACAGCTGGGAACCCCTTAGCTCTGTCTCTCTTCCTGTCCCTTCCTGTCCGAATGCTGTGCACCTAAGTCAGGAAAACATTCCACAATTTGGGCAGTTGGGTTCTTTTTTCTTCCTTCCTGTTTTATTTTTTGTTTTTATGGACACCCAGTTACAATAGACAGTAAGTTACGTCTAAAAGAGCCAGTAGCTGCCCACTGTCACTTACTGAGCTCTTTTAATGTTTTGGCTTTAGATTAAGTGAAAAAAATTGAGACAGATTCTCACTGTGTAGCTCAGGGTGGTCTGGAACTAGCCATTCTCCTGTCTCAGCTTCCTGAGTGCTGGATGATAGGCATGTGCCAGCACATTGCCTGGCTGTACTGAACCCATTTGATTGGAAGGAAATGTGTTTGTGGGACTATGATACAAGCCTAAGGACCTGTGTTTAATGCCCAAAGACCACATGGTGTAAGGAAAGAACCATCTCTCACAGGCTGTCCTCTGATCTCCTCATCTTCACTGTGGCACACATACCCCAAAAGTGTGTGTGTATGTGTGTGTGTGCATATCTACACAGAGGTCATCCTGGAGTGTGTGTATCTAGGTAAAGCTGGACACTTGAAAATTGATAGTGTAGGTATAATTGTTCTCATTCAATTCATGTTGCAAGTGGCAAGCATTCATGCCAATGTGGTGTGTGAAACATTCTTGGTTGCAGTCTACCCTCAAATGGCATTGTTTGGGAGGTGATGAAAGCTGCCAATCCCTTTTACAAGACGATTATACCCCCTGCCTTGAATCCTGTGGTTGCCACCATTTCTCTGTGCTCTCATTTTATTTGAATAATGTTTTCTAGTCATTCGTTTGAATATAAGCAATGATTATGCCTGCATTGAGTCCAAGAATAAAGTGCACAAAGAGAGCTAGAGAAAAAGAAATACTGTCAAGCTATCATTTCCCAGTTCCATACACAAACAGAACCCTAATTTCCTACCACATGCCATGCTACCCCCTCTGACGGTGGATCCCAAACCTGGCTGAGCCCACCTACACCCAGGAACAGTCTATGGTTACACGACGGGTATCACTTTCGGATGCCTTGTTGATTGTATCATCCTGAAATGCGATTAAAACCCAATGTCTGCAACCCAAATGAAGTCTAATTGCTATGGATCTGCAATCCCCATCGGGCCCCTAATCCTTTTTGACTTATTCCTCCCCTTCCTCTGATGAGATGGAGCTTAGACACAAAGCCCTCGGTTTAAATTTCAAAAATTAAAATTGACATGCAGCGGTGGCTTTCCTGAGAGCTGGGAGGAATTGCTAAGGAGGTGCCCCAACCCAGCTTTAGTCTCTGCATTAAGAAGCAATTTGTACTTCTAACAAAACCCCCGCCCCTTCCCCTTTGTCAGAAGGGCAGGGGAGATGCCTTGCCTGGGTCCCACTATTCACAACACTTAGACAAATTTGAAGCTGAGATTCCTGTCTTCGCCTTCGAAAACGAGCTTCTTGTAATTCTAATACTGGGGCTGCCAGGAGTCTGTGCCAGAGGTGTCAACTGCTAAGAGCATGATGGATTGATGAGGGAGCTTTGAGAGGTTCAGTTAGCAGAAGCTGGCCAGCAGTCCCCGTGTCTGCCACTCCCAGGTCCCTGGCTGGCTCCTCAGGCCAGCTAAGGGCCATGCTTGTGGGAACTCTCTGCCAAGGGGACAGGCTTGGATGGGAGACCAGGTCTCCACTCTAGCCACCGTTATGAAGCCATCAGATTTGGGGTGTTTATAGGATACAAGAAGCCCTTCGCCCCAGGCACTCATCCTTGCTGTTTATTAAGAACTTCCCTGGTTTCTTTCCTAGTTGTATTCCTGGGCTAGGAGTATCATATACTCATGGCCAACAAACACCCAGGGGACTATTTTTGTCTGTTTAAAAGCTGGAGAAATTGGGCTTGGAGAAATTCATGGCCTGCCCCAAGCCCCCAAACTTTTAAGAGTTGCATCTGGGAGCTGAGGAGATAGCTCATTTGGCAAATTGCTTGCAGTGCAAACAAGGGGATCTGCATTCAACTCCCAGAACCTGTGTAAAATAAGCTCATGCATGGTGCAGCACCCCTTCAATCCCAGTGCCAGGAGAGGATTCCTGGGACTCACTGGCCAGTTAGCCCATGCCTATGTGATGAGGTCTAGGCCAGTGAGAGGCCTTATCAAAAACCCGAGGAATGACATTTGGGGCTCATCTCTGTCCTGACACACAATGTACAGGTGCACACATGTACCCACATGTCCAAGTGTGAGAGTATATGTGCACATCACATATACACATAAATAAATGTAGTTGGAATTTGAACGTAGGCCTCCAGGCTACTGTCCTGTGTGTACAGAGAAGGAATGTCTACCTCCCATTCCCATGCCTCTGATATAGGCAGGTCAGACAAGAAGACTCACGTGTGCATTCTTACCCAGGCTTCCTCCTTCAGGCACCTCCAGATCCAGACTCCTCCAAGCATCAAACCTCTGGATTGGGCCAAGCATTCTGGCCTTGGGGCCTTGCTGATGGCCAAGCGGGGGCTTAGACCACTAATTCCAGACGCTTTGTTGGGAACAGCGCGTCTCCACCAACAACCTATCACAACAGCTCTCCTTTTCTCCCTTGGTGGGAGTGAGGAGGGAGTGTCCTGCAGGTGCCAGAGCTTAGCTGAAGTGGGCGCTGGCTGTGTCTGCCTGGCAGGAAGGCTCCTTGTCTGTGGGAGTGCTCATCTTCAGGATTGCCCGAGTTCAGGAGAGATGCACCTGTCTGGAAGACTTGGGTGGAGGCTGAGCCTTCTGCTGCATTTCTCTCCTGTCTTTGAGCAGCTAACTCTTTTCAGATTCCAAGACAAAAACCCAGATCCCCCCACCCCTGACCCGCACCTATTGATGACAACACTGCAGAGGCCATATTTCAGGGGCTTGTCCCTTTAAGTGCCCTGATCATGCATTCACATTGGTTAAACTTTTTGGGGGGGGGACTCTAGTATCAACATATATATTTGATATATGAATAATTTATGTATGCCTTCCTCAGTCTATACTTTAAGAATTTTCCAGCTTTTGTGTTTATATTCATCTGGAGAACTCATATTCAAGTCAGTAGCTATAGCCTAGCTGGCTAACCAGTTTTGGAAGCAGGTCTCCTTTTCATTGGCACAAAAATAAAAGAGGGTTAATTTGATATTTTCTCAGTGTTAGGCATGAAAGTGTGTTCTCTATGAGTCACAGATAAGCCTGTGCCCTTTAATTCTTGGCAGGCAGAGCTCTGGTCCTGTTTTAGATATTAATATTAGTAATTCTTAATTTGTTTGTCTCTCTTTTCATTCAACGAATAATTGATTTCATTAACTTATTTATCATACAAAGTAATATGTCTCGTTATGACATTTTCACAAACACATGTCATTGTATTTTGTTCAGGGTTTTTTTTTAAATAGCCCAGACTGTCCTCAAACTTGAGATCCCCCTGCCTCAGTAGGCCTCCTGCTGGGATAATGGGCATGTGGGCAGGAGGATCATGAATTAGAGGTCAGCTGGGTAAAACACTGTCTTAGTTTCTTTCCCTGTTGCTGTGATGAGATATTCTGACAAAAATCCACTCAAAGGAGAAAGGTTCAGTTTAGCTCATAGTTTAGGGAACAACGATAGCAGAGGAGTTAAGGCAACATTAACTTGAAGCAATTGCTCACATTACATCCATAGTCACTGTGGTGGTTTGAAAGAAAATGACCCCCAAAGGGAAGGGCACAGCTAGGCGGTGTGACCTTGCTGGAGGAAGTGTGTCACCGTGGGAGCCAGCTTTGAGCTCTCTTTTGCTCAAGCTTCCCTCAGTGTGTGACAATAAGCTGACTTCCTGTTGCCTGCGAGATGTGGACTCAGCTATGTTTCCAGCACCCTGTCTGCCTGCGTGCCGCCATGATCCCCACCATGGTGGTAACATAGTGAACCTCTGAAACTGTAAGTGAGCCACCCCAGTTAAATATTTTCTTTATAAGAGTTGCTGCAGTCATGGAGTCTCTTCACAACAAAGGAACCCTAGCTAAGACAGTCAGGAAGCAGAGAGCAATGGGTACGCACTCACCACTGCCTGCTTCCTTATTTCCATTTTGTACAGTTCAGGATCCTCCACCCAGAGGATGACTCCATAAAATTAAGATGGGTCTTTTCCCACTAGCTAACCCTGAGAGGCATTTTCAGAAGCCCATTTCCCAGGTGCCTCTAGATCCTATCCTCATCAGTTCATACTAACCATCACACACAGTGAGGTGTTGTCCCAAAATGAAACGGTAATAACCAGAGTTCCAACACCTCCCTCTCGCCCCTGATTTTTGGAGACTTTGCAGTTGTGGTTGGGGGTGACTCATAGA